AATGGTTGAAAGCTGCATCTGTGGTTTGTTTCCTAACCACAAAAATTACCATCATGTCAATATTAATTAATCTAAGCCCAATGATCAGTTAACATTAGTTCTCACTAATCACAGTATTCTTAAACAATCGACAGTCTAAAAATTATGCAATTCTCCTTTTTTTTTAGCCACTGCAAAACAGCCAGAAGCAACACAGGACCTTTTTTTCACCAGTAATAATAAAACAAAATGTGCTTTGATACTGATGAAGGATCCATTTAATTAAAAGTCCTCAGCTCAACGTTATCATATATAGAGACCATAATTGCTAACTCAGTTTTAAAATGTTCTTATATAAAGATTTTTTTCCCTCTAAGTCTGATGAAAGTTCTTAAGAGAGAGGGAGATGAAGAAAAGCACATTTTTTGCTGTATGCTACATAATATTGTTCTCTAGGCAAAACTTACTGTCTCATACTATTGTGGTACACTAGTGCAGGGTTTCTCAACCAGGGTTCCATGGAACTGTAGGGTTCCTCCAGAGGTTGCTAGGGGTTCCTTGAGCAATTTCTGAAACTCAGATAAGTTCCCATTGACACCATTGATCTTTTCAGTTATCTATAAGGAGGTATTCTTACCAATGACCACAAGTGTAAGGAGTATTATTCCCACTGACCATCACACCAATGTATCATGAGCTGTAGCTAAAGTAATTTTTATCAGGGGTTCCCGGAGGACAGAAAGTTAATTGTAAGGGTTCCTCTGTGTTGAAAAGGTTGAGAAAGACTGCACTAGTGTGATATTGTAGATTTAAAACAATGAAAGCATAGTTAAACCCAAAATAAACCAAAATATGCGATATACTGTAGTTTACCAGTAATTAGATAAGGTGGCCAAATTCGGTTTCTTTTTGTAAGGCTTTTTTCCCCCCTTTCTTTTCACCTGGTTATCCTACTAGTAACACATGTGCTGTCCTAGAGAAACCATGCACACACACTGTACTGTTTCTAGCATGGAGCAGCATTATCACTCTAGGACTACAGAATACCCCCTCAACCATCATCTCCATAACATAAGGGTAGGGCGTTCTGTTGTCCACAGCGAGAGCTAGGAACAATGCTAACTGATAAAAGACCGCAGAGACCGCAGAGAGCACAGAAGGTTACCAACTAACCAGATTTCTCTCAGGATCAACAGGTACTGTTTCCTCTTATCAAGCAGATAAAACAAAACACTTTCAATGATATATTTATTCAATCAAAAGGGAGCGAGTGAGAGAAAATTGGGTGTTTACATACACTATAAGCAATACTGAAGCATTAAGGAGCTCTGGTCCAATTTTAAAAAAAAGTTGAACTTGATTAAATCACTAAATACAGCCAATAGTCAGGAATTCTGAAAAGGAGGATGGGGTTGGCATGCACATGCAATAATGTAAAATAGTATCTTATTTGTTTAGTCCTGTTCTCCAAATGCAGCTACACACTTCTGTCACTCCACAGCCCCCAGTGCCATGTTTTCAGGAGCTTCACCTGCTGTGAGCTTCTTCCATCGATAGGTCACTCAGTGTCAATGCAAGTCCCTCACATGCCAGATGAAGCCTAACCATGCTGAGACTATACTCTTTTTTAACAGAAAAGATCTGCCAAAAAAATAATAAAGATATTTTTTTTTTCATCTGTAAAGTGGACCCCTTAAAATTACTGCAGGCAGACCCAGAGGATCTAGGCATAGTTCCAGAAATTAAACGGAGATGGATTCATCTTGCTAATGGTTCTTTTGTTGAACGTTTTAATATAAGGGTGAGGTTCCTCTAAGGGATTTGCCTAAAGTCATCTTATTTGCTCTTCACTGTTTGATACAGCTGAATGCTACAGGCCAGGGGCGGACTGACCATTTGGAAACTCTGGCACTGCCCGAGGGCCCAGGGTCAGTAGGGGGCCCCATGAGATGCCCCTGGTACCTTTTTCATAGGCTTTTTTGAGTTTGGTCAAGGACACAGGGGCCCCATGAATCCCCTATAGCCCGGGGGCCCCATGGAGTTGTCAGTCTGCCCCTGCTACAGGCAAGTCTCCTGTGTTTTAAGGGGATGTTTAGCTTTAGCTTCGGTGAGACTCTTCCCTGTGATTCTGCAACGGCATCTGAAAGACCTGTTACAGAAACTACATTGGGCTGGGCAGTGGTGTGGAGAAATGTACAGAGCACTGCAGTAATCAAGTGATGGCACACAAGTTCCAACCCACAGATGGTGAACTGTGAGTACAACAGAGGTATTGCTGCTGTCAAGTGTTGTTGTCAATCTTTGAATTAACAGATGCTTCCTGTTTTGCCAGATTGATCACTACCGGTTACTGTATGTGCGGGGAAGCATAAGATGGTCACCCTACTTGAGCAGTGAATATACCGGTCATAGCTTCATTGCCTATGCCGTGCAGTCAAACTACAATAGGAAATAGACTCAAGAGTAGCCAGCCTGTCATGTATTTGCTAGTGGGCATCCTGTGTTTAGGAGCTGCCTGTGAGTTACACAACTACTGCTCTAGTTAAATAATGTACTGTATTAGAAAAAACCTGTACATGTGTGTTCTTCTAAGGGTCCAGAGAAGAACAAACTGCAAATTCTTGGTTGTCAGAGACCACAAAGAAGTTACATTTGGACCTTTAGACAGTCTTAGAAAATACACATAAACAAAAACACCTGTGCTGTATTAACGCCTATGATATTAACGCTCTATGAAGGCCTCCTGATGATGTCAGCACGATGAAACGTATGTCGAGGCGAAGCTACCAGAAGTGACGGTCCAGGAATCCAGAAGTGGTGAGTTAAGATTGCATTGAGAAAGCAGCCTGAGCGATCAGAGGCATGGTTGGCCGGGTATGAGATTGAGCGTTTAAACCCATGTGCAGGGTGGAATGCACCGTTAAATGTGAGCGGGATAACAAATGGTCTTGTGTTGATTATGTAAGTTTTTAATGAAGGGTATTTTATACTATTGGGGTCTTTTTCCCTCCTAAATATATGCTACCCTTGGCGAAGTCATAAGTGAGGAGCATAGTGGAGTGACCCATTGGAGAGGGGATCCTATATATACAAACAAGTGCATATAGACCAACTCATAAATGAGAAGATCATGGCTGTTTGGTGAGTTCTCTGTTTTGGTGGTTGCACAAGGAGGTGAAGTGAAGCACAAAGAACAGAGATTGAAAGTGATTGCATTAAGCACTTTATATACACGCAGGAAGAGTTATATACCATTGCACTTTTTGAAGGAACTGTTGCACTATATGGACAAATGTATTGATTTGAAGGACATAAGTAGCACATCATACATTTGAGGAGTCACAAGTCTATACATTAGAATATACACTTGTATAATGGTTATTTGCACTTTATATAATTTGCACTTTAAATGATTATGTAAGCACTGTATGTTTTGGGTGATATTTAGTTTTAGAAAATAACAGCTGTGAATTGAAATAGAAAGGTGGATGAGAGCTACTCAGTTGCATCTAAGGTTTGACTGAATATGCTGATCCCACATCCAGGGTTATGAGAGCTAATGCTTGCAGGTTATATTGATGGCCATGTGAATCTGGGGAGTAATTTGCCTATATTTGCACATAGTGGAGCACTTTGTCCTAATGAAGTTGTCATCACTTAACTGTATTATCAAGAAAGCGGTGATTGGGAACTGTTTACAAGAGTTTTTGGATTGTTTGGACTTTATATTGATCATTTTGCACTTATGTATTGGTTATATAGGTTTGTTATTTATCTTATATTAGAGTATAATTATTTTGGTTTAAAGGGCTAGCACCTACTTTACATATAATTCATTACGTGATAAAGTGTTTGTTTGCACTTTAATGGGGCAGCTGCCCAACTGGATCTCAGTTGCACATTTGTAAGGTGGCACCCTCTCAGTTTCTTTTATAAAAAATAAAAAAATCTGACGGGGTTATAACTCTTCCTTACTCTATCCAAAATGGAAAAAAACGTTTTGCCTGTAGCTCTACTTTAAGTGTAAACTGTCCACCAATGTTAGAGCAAGTAAGAATTACTAAACCCATTATGAACTATTTGACATATTACTTTACAAAAAAAAAGACCTCTTTCAGACTCCTCTACTTTGTAGCATGGACATGTTTCCCTCTCCCAAGAAACACTATATTCAATAAATTGTTTAATTCGAGTTTGTGTCGCCTCATTTTCTTCTTGTTCACAGTACAGAGTGGATTATCCTGTATATCCCTGTTATTTTCTCAGTTGAGACACAGGAAGACATAATTTCCTGCACCCAGGTGGTTCAGAGGCCTGTAGTAAAGGTATCTGCTATAGGTAGTGCCTTACCTTTTCAGTGTGTGTTTGATCATAATTGTGTATAATCAGCAAGACCTTCTACACAAGGTCCAAAGTTCCAGATCATTAGCTTTATATACAATACCTCAGGAGCGATATTTTAATAGTAAATGTGTTACCAATGTACATTTTGGTACCAAAACATATTGGTGCTATTAGCAAAGTAAACATTTTATTCTTGTTGCGATAATACAACATTCATCCTGGGAATATTAATATTGGTGTTCAATTTACTTTAATGGTTTTGGTTTAAGTGTAAGCTTAAAAAAAGTCCATGTAGCCAGACCAAACATTATGGGGTATATTTATAAAAAAAATAGTGAATGTAATTCACCATATACCGTATTTCACTCCATAAGATGCACTTTTTTCCCCCCAAAAAAATGGGGGGAAATGTCTGTGCGTCTTATGGATCGAATATTGACTAGGCCTCCCCCCGTTGCCATGTTAGAATACTGGGCCAGCCGCTCAGCTCTTCTGTGGCAGAAGAGAGGATGAGTCCGAGTCAGCAGTGCAGCAGCGCCAGGTAGGGCCCAAAGCAGCTGCCCCTTAAAGCAGAGTTCAAGCTGAAAAAAAAAAACAAAAGTAAGCAGCCACATAAACTGTAGCTGCTGACTTTTAAAATACAGTCACTTATCTATTCCTCTCAGGGGTCCAGTGGTGTCCTCACCACTGCTGGTTTCACTGGCCATCTTCTTTTCCTCGTGCCGACATCTTTAGTGCAGGCACCCAGCTGTGACAGCTTGCAGCTTCACAGCCGAGTGCCCACTGCACATGTGCAAAAAAGTGCTCTGGTTTGTGAATGGCCCCATAATCTTCTGGGACCTGTCATGTGTCCCAGAAGACTACGAGGAAGGAGGACAACTTCTGCTTCCAGTCACCTGGGTGATCACAGCAGAAGTGGGAGCGGGTACCTGTCAAATTCGGGTACCAGCTCCCCAAAGGTCTGCAGTCTCTGGTCATCTCCTGTACTGTGTCCGCAGTCTCTGGTCATCTCCTGTACTATGTCCACAGTCTCTGATCATCTCCTATACTGTGTCCACAGTCTCTGGTCATCTCCTGTACTATATCCACAGTCTCTGGTCATCTCCTGTACTGTGTCCACAGTCTCTGGTCATCTCCTGTACTGTGTCCGCAGTCTCTGGTCATCTCCTGTACTGTGTCCGCAGTCTCTGGTCATCTCCTGTACTGTGTCCGCAGTCTCTGGTCATCTCCTGTACTGTGTCCGCAGTCTCTGGTCATCTCCTGTACTGTGTCCGCAGTCTCTGGTCATCTCCTGTACTGTGTCCGCAGTCTCTGGTCATCTCCTGTACTGTGTCCGCAGTCTCTGGTCATCTCCTGTACTGTGTCCGCAGTCTCTGGTCATCTCCTGTACTGTGTCCGCAGTCTCTGGTCATCTCCTGTACTGTGTCCGCAGTCTCTGGTCATCTCCTGTACTGTGTCCGCAGTCTCTGGTCATCTCCTGTACTGTGTCCGCAGTCTCTGGTCATCTCCTGTACTGTGTCCGCAGTCTCTGGTCATCTCCTGTACTGTGTCCGCAGTCTCTGGTCATCTCCTGTACTGTGTCCGCAGTCTCTGGTCATCTCCTGTACTGTGTCCGCAGTCTCTGGTCATCTCCTGTACTGTGTCCGCAGTCTCTGGTCATCTCCTGTACTGTGTCCACAGTCTCTGGTCATCTCCTGTACTGTGTCCACAGTCTCTGGTCATCTCCTGTACTGTGTCCACAGTCTCTGGTCATCTCCTGTACTGTGTCCACAGTCTCTGGTCATCTCCTGTACTATGTCCGCAGTCTCTGGTCATCTCCTGTACTATGTCTGCAGTCCATGGGTTCAGAATATTTTTTTTCTTGTTTTCCGCTTCTAAAACCTAGGTGCGTCTTATGGAGTGAAAATTATGGTAGTCAAGAGGATCCTCTTGGTGTCTGATTAATAGTCAATATCACATTCCCTACTTTATAAAAATGCCCATATAATTTTAAAAATATCATAGTACTTTACTTGTAAGACCCATTGTCTCCTCTCTGCAATTATTTTATTAATTTATTGCAGAGTTAGGCCTCTTTCACATGGATGTTCCGATCAGGTCCATCCTGCCTGTTTTTCAGGTGGACCTGATTGGACCTCCATTCTCCTCTATGGAGTGGCGGGTGTAAATGGACATGTCCATTTACACCTCCCGATATCCAATCTGATCTGTCCCGCAAAAAAGGGACGTATGGGGATCCAATTCCCCATCCATCTGTCAGATAGAAATAGACAGGCGGTCTGTTTTCATCCGATTGCCCATTGAGGAGAGCGAGCTGCACTGCAGCAGCAGAGAGGACACAGACCTGTCATCCGCTTACTCAGCAGGGATCAGCGGAGAGATCCCCCACTGAGCAAGAGGATCCACTAAATGGGTCCGCCCCATGTGAAAGGATCCTTAAAGGCAAAGGAAACAAGAGATTAATCTGTCACTTATGGGTATGTCACATTCTTCTTTTTCCAGGAGCCCTTTGCTGCTCTTTTCCAGCCGCTACATCAGATGCACTTAAAAATGCTGAGGCTAAGGGCAGCCAAAAAGTGTTCCCAAACAGCCTCAGCATATATAAACAAATCTGCTGAGACTGTGCGCAGAACAGCTCCTAATCACAACTTCTGGGCTGTTTGTTTACATATGCTGAGGTTGTGTTTTGGAGCAATATTATCACAATTACCAGATGTACAGGACGACGATGAGATAAATATGGAAGCTACAATTGCTAATCTTTGTCTGTAAATACTAATTAGTTAACTATGATGCTCCTTCTGGCTCTAATATTCTGAGTCCCTGCCCTGAAACAAGTATACAGATAACATGTTTCTCTTCTGGTTCTGTGACTCCAAGCACTAAAGCAAAAGATAGTTGGGTAAGTAGCATTTCCAAGAGTTCAACTTTAAACTGTATCTTTACACATGTGAGATCTGATGGAAGAGATCCCATTAATGTTTTTGGAATGTAAATGTTTTGCTTGAGTAATGCTGGGTAAATAATGTACATATCAAAATAACTAATAAAGAATTCCAAGCTGTACAGCTCCAAAAAAAAAATAAATGACAAAAAAACCTCCAGTGACTGAAAACCCAATATCTTTAGGATCAAATTTGTAGAGAAAGCTTCCATTTACTAATAGAAATATGTTATTAATAACCTGGCAACCACCAACATTTTGTTGGTACATGAGCTCCTACAATAGCCATCTTCATTTTACATTCTGCTTCATGTGTGCCAAGTTTTTTTTATTATGCATTCTTCTTCTAATTTCAAAATGTGGAATCCTTGAAAAGCTGAAATGTATGGAAATTATTATCGCAGCCTGAAAGGCTTAATGATGATGAAACACCTCTGGGAGACGTGCCACCAAGAGATAAATGTAAAGATTATTCTGCTGAACAAATGTTTTCTGTCCCATCTATATTCCGGACAGTTGTCAAACATCATCTACATTTGAGAAGACCGGTTAGTATTAATTTCCCCCCATTTTCTTGTACTTATTGTCCATTACTTACCCCTTTTCATGCGCCACCCTGTGCATCCAGTATACACCCTTAACATACCAACCAGCTTGTACCCATTAACAGTGTGTACAATAATGCTAAGAGTCATTTTTTGTTTAAAACTGACATATCACATGATCACAATAACATTTTTAATGAGAGGAAGTATTGGGACTGCTCTCCTTTTTTAAATCTAAACTACAGGCAGACATAACAGGTTAATGCATATAAAGAGTTGAACTTGCAGACTCCTGCATCCATGTGGATGCAGAAATGTGGATGCAGAAATCTCCCCTGCTGTGCTATACTATTCTGACGCCCCCACCCCATCAGAATACACTGATCAGCAGTGCACCCATTGGCTGCAATGGCTGATCGACTGCTGATTTTCCAGCAGGACAGAAGCCAATCTAACAATTGGCTTCTGTTGAACAGAGATGGCTACACACAAATTGAAATTAGGCCAGTTCTGCTGAACCAGACAGATTTCAATTTGCACATACCCAGCTTAAGTCTGTTATTCTTCAACTTACTTTAACAGAACGAGCTGTCCAGACAAAGTAGCAGTTCGAGGATTGAGACAAACCATTTAACAAAGGGGTGCGCACAACGGTCAGCTTTTATTCATTTATGTAAAACCTCTATCCCAAAAGTGAAAAAAAATGTTTGCTGTAACTCCTTACAAAGTGTTAGCTGGGGTTCAGCTTCAATTTGTCATACAAATCCCTCTAAATCTTCTAGTCGAACACAACCCTCTCCCCAGAGTGACAATGTTGATATCCAGAATTTATCTACTACTTCATCCAGAATGCAGACAGGAAGTGTGTTACTGCTTGGATCACCGGTATAAATAAAGGGAAAAAAAAAGCTTAACAATGAAACTAAAGCAGCCAACAAATATATGGATTGGTAAGCTGCAATATATAACATTTTTCAATACTGCTTTAAGAGTGTTAACGCAATGCAAATACACTATATTACCAAAAGTATTGAGCCAGCCCTCAAAATCATTGGATTCAGGTGTTCCAATCACCTCTATGGCCACAGGTGTATAAAATCAAGCCCCTAGGCATGCAGACTGCTTCTACAAACATTTGTGAAAGAATGGGTCGCTCTCAGGAGCTCAGTGACTCCAAGCGTGGTCCCGTGATAGGTTGTCACCTGTGCAATAAATCCATCCGTGACATTTCCTGGCTACTAAATATTCCATGGTCAGCTGTTAGTGGTATTGAAATAACTGAAAGTCAGCACACATAAAATAAATACAGTACCCCTTAAAGTCGTATCACGATCCTTCCCCTGAAGTACCAATATAATATAACAACCAACTTAAATGCTCTCAAAATTCAAAAGAAAAGTGTCCAAAAATCCCAAAACAAATGTCCAAAATTATGTCCAAATCTTGATGAATAGGTGCTCACTAATCCGAAATGAAGATAAATCCCAGATGTTCTTCATACACCTCAAAAGAAGAAAAATCTAGACATAGTGTATTATCTTAGGTATCAAAAAATAGTGCCACACGTGCAGCATGCAAAACCCTATGGTGTCACAGCAAACGTGTAAACCTTATACTCAGTATATGTCACTGCAAGCCATATATAAAGTGCATAATTACCCTAAATTCAGTAATATCAGCATGTGATCTAAATAGGCATGGAATATCCTCAAACTGGCATCCTCTTGTTCAGCCACTTCCCTCAGACCTCACAAACAGACCAAGGATCAGTATATGGATCAAAATAACATATAACTTTTATTGTAGCCACTTACATTAAAAACTGATAAAAACGGCTTCCTGGTCCTGATGACATGTACACAGCCACATTGTGGTATCAGGAAGTCTCCCGATCACAAGGAAGTCAGAACGCCACAATCCTTCCCAGCATTGACCCTTCAGCTAAGGAGGAGCGCCAGGAATATACTGCGAGTCCCAGGAAAGCCACACAACAAACGCTTCAGAATCCAAAATGGCCACCACGGCACGTCCGGGAACGTCAATACGTCACGTGCCCTGGACGCGTTTCGTCACTTCCGGACTTTGTCAACAAGGTTAGTGGTATTGTAACAAAGTGGAAGCAACTGGAAACATCAGCAACTCTGCCACAAAGTGGTAGGTCACGTAAAATGACAGAGCAGGGTCAGCGCATGCTGAAGCACACAGAAGTCACCAACTGTCTGCAGAGTCAATAGATAAAGACTTCCAAACTTCATGTGGCCTTCAGATTAGCACAACAACAGTGCATGGAGAGCTTCATGGAATGGGTTTCCATGGCCGAGCAGCTGCATCCAAGCCTTACATCACCAAGTGAAATGCAAAGCATCGGATGCTGTGGTGTAAAGCACGCCACCACTGGAGTCTAGAGCAGTAGAGACGTGTTCTTTGGAGTGACGAATCACCCTTCTCTGTCTGGCAATCTGATGGACGTTTGGCAGATGCCAGGAGAACGGTACTTGCCTGACTGCATTGTCCCAAGTGTAAAGTTTGGTGGAGGGGGGGATTATGGTGTGGGGGTTGTTTTTCAGGGGTTGGGCTTGGCCCCTTAGTTCCAGTGAAGGCAACTCTTAAGGCGTCAGCATACCGAAACATTTTGGACATCTTCATGCTCCCAACTTTGTGGGAAGAGTTTGGGGATGGCTTCTTCCTGTTTCAACATGACTGCACACCAGAGCACAAAGCAAGGTCCATAAAGACATGGATGAGCAAGTTTGGGGTGGAGGAACTTGACTGGCTTGCAAAAAGTCCTAACCTCATCCTGATAGAACTTCTTTGGGATGAATGAGAGCACAGACTGCAAGCCAGGCCTTCTCATCCAACATCACCTGACCCCACACATGTGCTTCTGGAAGAATGGTCAAACATTCCCATAGACACCCTCCTAAACCTTGTGGACAGCCTTCCCAGAAGAGTTATAGCTGCAAAGGGTGTGCCAACTCAATATTCAACTGGGATGCCATTAAAGTTCATATGCATGTAAAGGCAGGCGTCCCAATACTTTTGGCAATATAGTCTATGTAATCCATGTTCACTGAACTGTGCATGCGTGGCTCAGTGCACATGACGGCTAACAGACAGGAGGAAGCATTTATGACAGGAGAGACCGATGGGGTCTCTTCTGTCATAAATATCCTGTCAGCAATTATTTTTAAAATAAACTTTACTACCACTTTAAAGAATAAGTATGCCTGTGTATACCCCTTCTTTTTTTCCCATTTTCATTGGGTCTGCATGTACTGAAAAATCACATACATTACCATTTTTGCTGCCCCTGAATTACCTGTGCAGTGAAATCCCAGAAAGGAACATCAGAACCCAAATGGAAGTATAGGTTTCTAAAGATTTTTTAGCATGCAATTTCTCTTCACTGCAGAATACTGAAACTGGCAGTATGACCAATAGAAGTGGTGACTGTCTACTTTTTTCTTGCAGGTTCATAACATACAGTTAGGTCCATATATATTTGAACACAGGCACAATTTTAGTTTTTTTCAGGTATTTACCAAAACATATTCAAGCTATTGTTATATAATGGATATGGACTAGAAGTGCACACTCTCAAATTTAAATTTAAGGGTATGTACATCCAAATTGGAGAAAGGGTTTAGGAATTACAGCTCTTAACAGTAGCCATCCCCCCTTTTTCAAGGGACCAAAAGTAATTGGACAATTGAATCAAAAGCTGTTTCATGGCCAGGTGTGGGCTACTCCATTATTTCTTCATCAATTAAGCAGGTAAAAGGTCTGGAGTTGATTCTAAGTGTGGTATTTGCATTTGGAATCTATTGCTGTGAACCTACATCATGTGTTCAAAGAAGCTGTCCATGCAAGTGAAACAGGCCATTGTAACGCTTCAAAAATGAAACAAATCCATCAGAGAGATGGCAGCAACATTAGGAGTGGCCAAATCAATAGTTTAGTACATTGTGAGGAAAGAAGAACGCACTGGTGAGCTCAGCAACATAAAAAGGCATGGATGTCCACAGAAGACAACAGTTGCGGATGTCCGCAGGATCCTCTCTACGGTCAAGAAAAACCCATTCACAACATCCAGACAAGCGAAGGACACTTTCCAGGAGGTGGGCGTATCATTGTCAAAAAGTCTACAATCAAGAGAAGACTTCACGAGAGCAAATATAGAGGGTTCACCACAAGGTGCAAAACATTCATAAGCCTGAAGAATTGAAAAGCCAGATTAACCTTTGCCATAAAACAAATAAAAAAGCCAGATCAGTTCTGGAAAAGCATTCTTTGGACACATGAAACTAAGATTAATCTCTACCAGAATGATGGGAAGAAAAAAGTGTGGAGAAGGCTTGGAACAGCTCATAATCCAAAGCACACAATGTCATCTGTAAAACATGGTGGAGGCAATGTGATGGCATGGGCATGCATGGCTTCCAGTGGCACTGGGCCATTGGTGTTTATTTATGATGTGACAGAAGACAGAAGCAGCCGGATGAATTCTGCTGTGTTTAGAGATATACTGTCAGCCCAGATTCAGCCAAATGCAGCAAAGTTGATTGGACGGCGCTTCACAGTACAGATGGACAATGATCCAAACCACACTGCAAAAGCAACCAAGGAGCTTTTGAAGGAAAAGAAGTGGTATATTCTGCAATGGCCGAGTCAATCACCTGATCTCAACCCAATTGAGCATGCATTTCACTTGCTGAAGGCAAAACTAAAAGGCAGTAAATCCCACAAACAAAGAACAACTGAAGACAGCTGCAGTTAGAGCCTGGCAAATCATCAGAAAGGAGGAAACCCAGTCTTTGGTAATGTCCATGATTTCCAGACTTCAGGCAGTCATTGCCAGTAAAAGATTCTCAAAAAAATATTAAAAATAAACATTTGATTTCTGATTATATTCATCTGTCCAAATACATTTGAGCCCCTGAAAATGAAGGAACTGTGTATAAAAATTGTAGTTCCTAAAATTTGTACCTGATATTTATGTTCAACCCCTTGAATTAAAGCTGAAAGTCTGCACTTCAAATTCAGTTGGATTGTTTCGTTTTAATTTATTCTGGTGACATACATAGCTAAAAGTATAAAAATTGTGCCTGTGCCCAAATATATATGGACCTAACTGTAATTGTTTTAGCAATGAAGCCTTTATAAAAAAAAATACTTGTGTTCTACTGTAAAGCACATTGGGGCCCAAATTAAAACAAAATATTCCAAAGTTATACAGTTACAAATGCCAACACATTCTTACAACACTCTTATATTTAGGCTGATATGTCTGAAAGAGCTAAATCAGAGAACAGCACATTCAAAATGACAGATCTGCATTAAAAATTACAGACACATACTTATTATGCGATCATATCAGCTTAGACCTAATTCATGGATAGAGGTCCTTGTCAACCTACATATATTTTACTGAGTTTGATTGAACAGAAACTTGCATGACCTCTTCAGGTTTGAAATGTTTCTTAGTTTCTTTTTCTTTACTTTTAGGAAATAATATATTTGTTTTTTTTTACAAATTCAAAATAGCAATTTGGTTAAGCAGGAGAAATTGCATAATGTCCATTTGGTGTTTTGTATTTTTATCCTTTGGAAGTAATAACAGCTTTCAAAAAATAAATAAATAAGGAAAGAAACTTTTCTATTTTAACATTCCTTGAACTTCCTCAAGAATTCATTCACCTCAAAATTCATGTAGTTTTTAAACCCATCACAAGCTCTGTATTTTAAGGTTTTCCACTTGACATTCAATATTCAAGACTGGCAATGTGGAAATTTTCAACATTCCTTTCTCTATATATTTCCGAGATTAATTTAAAAGAATATTTGTGGAAAAATGCAGCTTTGATCTTTGGCCTTAGACAACTCACTGGTAACCAAAATAAACTTTTTATATATGGTAAGTGATGCATTTCACCATTATATGTTGCGCTCCTAAATAACAAAAAAAAATTTTTGATTCCCCTTAAGAAACAATATTATAAATCATCAAATCAATTTAATATAATTAATAGTCCCATCAATAAAAATAAAAGTCCAATAATAGTGACTTGGTGATAATTGCTCTTCAATTTGTGACTTTTTGTGAATCCTCCAATTAGTGAAGATGTATGCTCACTTCCTTTGTTGCCTACAATTAGGCTATACACGCTTGTGGTTCACCTTCCTTGGAACCTGCCAGAATTTAGCTCTATATGGGTAGATTGAAGGGTCCTTCCCTTTAGATAAATGCAGATATCCTCTATGGGTTAGCTATCCCTGCAGGGATTCATCCCTCCTTCAGCTGTGATAAACCACCTATTTATCCTCTTTAGACATTTCTCTGCTTGTAGCTGTGCCGTCCCCTCCTGACAGTGTACATACACCCACTGCTGCTTCCTCATACACTGCAGCTGCCTATTATATAAAAAAAATGTTTTTGTTATTTAAAAATTTTTTTGTTATTTAGGAGCGCAACATATAATGGTGAAATATTTTATGTACACAGTTGAAGTTATGTGTTTTATGTTGGCGATCCACTAGAGAGAATTGCATTTGGCTCGCAAGTCACACAAATTCACATATAAGTGATGCATGCCTTCTTGAAACCACCTATACTTAAAAGATAATGCTGGATTTTAATATTATCTCTGCGTTCCTAAAATGACCTAAGACCTAAAGAATATGTATATTGCCAGGCAAATATAAAACACTGCACACCAATATCTCATATATACTATTTCCAGACAGCAGTTGGTGTTCTGGGCTATTTGTAGGTTTGAAAGTATAAACATTATTCTGCAAAAAATAGGCAGGAAAACCTAAATGGCTGAAACTCTGATTACATGCACAGCCACTCTCCCTCCCATTCTGGCTAAGGCTGTATTTTTATTTATTTATTTCAGGTACTTATATAGCGCTGTAAATTTTACGCAGTGCTTTACATATATATATCTTGTACATTACATCAGTCCCTAACCCTCAAGGGGTGTACAATCTAAGGTCCCTAACTTACATTCATACATACACATACTAGGGCCAATTTAGACAGGATCCAATTAACCTACCAGCATGTCTTTGGAGTGTGGGAGGAAACCGGAGCACCCGGAGGAAACCCACGCAAGCACAGGGAGAACATGCAAACTCCATGCAGGAGGCGCCCCGGTTGGGAATCGAACCCATGACCCATTTACTGCAAGGCAGACGTGCTAACCACTAAGCCACTGTGTGGAGTTCTTATTAAAGACAGCCACAATAGAAAAAAATTATGTTATCTTCTCACTTTCTTTAGGAAGGACAGAATGCTCTGCAAAACGAATGTCATGGGTGCCCCTAAATAAA